TTTTGTCTATGGTTTTCTTAGCTGTTCCTAAATCTGCAAAAAGCTTCTTTTGGATTTCGTATTATCTAATCTAATATTATCTAGATTATTATTAGATTTTTAGATAAGATGATATAATATTTCTTTTACTGGAATATTTTCTAACCTTATAATTTGGTCACTTGTGTGAGCCATCTTGTATTTTTGTGTGTATGATTTAAAGCTATCTGTATTCTCCAAACCATTGTAGTGCTGTATAAAATTTATTGACAGTATACTGGTTTGCTTCACTTTGAATTTTCCATTTTCCTTTAATATATCTGGACAATAGACATGTGTGTCACTCTGATCACTAGTTTGGCAGCTCTAGGCCACTTTCCATCTTTATATGGTGGATTTGATAGTTGGTGGGCATGTAGCTGCAAATCTCTTGTTGCTGATCATGAAGAGCAGTTGAGAGTAGGCTGGCTTGGTGTTGGTCATTGACCCAGTGCTCCAGAGTGGGTGTTGGACTTTGGCCAATGTGTAGGGCAACAGGAGTTGTGGGTATGACTGGATAGTATTACTGGCTCCCAAATGCTGGGGGAAGATAGAAGACAAAAGGTGAGTGGAGAAAAAAAGAAAATAAAAGAAGGGAGAGGTAATGGGAAGACTTTATAGTTTTTCTTATAAAGTCTTCCCATTACCTCTCCCTTCTTTTATTTTGAGGAAGAGAGAAAAAAAAATAAAATAAACCCAATACAGCATAGTATTATGCTGTATGGGAGTGTGCACGGTTGAATGTGGAGGATCAGGGAACATGGAGGTGGGTATGGGGCACCTACTCAACTAGATCAAGGAAAAATGGTGGCAGTGGGGGGTGGTGATGGAGAAAAAACAAAGAGGTTAGTGAATAGGGAATAGCTGGGATGAGAGGAAAACAAAAATAAAATATTGACTGATGGACTCCACTGTAGTGGGATCGTGGAGCTGCATGTGGGCACAGGTAGTGCTGACCATAGGAAGTGGTGGATATCTGAAAAATCAGAACATTGAAGGAGGGGAAGAGGAAGGGGAAAAAAGGAGAAGAAGAGAGAAACAATGTGGAAGGGAAAGGGAAGAATTAAGACTATAGAAAAAAGAAAAATACTTTTTAAAATAAAAAAGAATAACAGTACTGTTGGAAGTGTTAGTTGCTAAACATGCCGTGCAGGAATGCAGGGCCTGTGACAGTGTGCACCTCCCACTGGAGAGGGACAGGGCAGGCACTGCTAATCATGTGGGCTGTGGTGGAAGAGGGATGCTCACTCTGTGGGATCCAAAATAAAAGGAAGAAGAAGAAAAAGAAAATAAAGGGTACAAAGAAGGCAGAGAGGAAGGCAAAACTAAGGAGAGAGTTAAAAAAATTAAAAAGTGATATAGTACTGTCAGTGGTTGTGGGGTTTGACCAGGCGCTGGTGTGTTGTTTGGCAGGAACACAACTCTGCTTGTCAGGGATTTGTGCAAGGTAAGAAGGACGCCACCTTTCTTTGATCACTGATTATTGATGTGGAGTGCTGGTGTAGTTCTGGGCAAACATGCTGGTTATCTGGTCCCTGCTCCAATTGAAACACTGCTTGCAATAATTCAAAATGGCCATGCTGTGCCAACTGGCAGTATACCATTCCTTGTTCTTTGTTTTCATGCAGGCTCTTCTTCTCATCAGTATTTGATCTATTTCTTTATTCTTTCCTTTGAAGCTTTAATAGGATTATCATCCATATTCATTTACCTTGGTTGCTTGAGTCTTTGTTATAGAGAGTCTGGCCAGTGTCTGCTTAGTCTGAAATTTGGATCCTCTCAATAAAAAAAAATTGTGATTTGGGTTAAAGTCTCAGAGGATATTAATTTTCCATTTAAAAATATATACATTTTCCTTGTGTGACATTGGATGTAATCTCCACAATGTAGCAGCACTCCTCCCATTTCCTCCCTGGATTCCTCGATCCCATTAGTCTTTTTTCCTGCTAATCTCTGCTTCTGGAGCTTTGTTTTGCGCAAATATCACCCAAATATCTCCTGTGTTTGATTATTCCTGAACATTACATTTTTCATGGGTATTATTTTCAGTCTATAGGTCTACTGCTCAGTTGAAAGGTGATCCTTGAAGGGTGGATTTAGTTCTAGGCTGAAAGGAGAAGGTGTCTAAGGGTCATAGTCTTGGGCGGTTCCACCAATCTCTGTCACAGCAGGAAGTCTAACCTTTTTTATGATTTTGAATTTTGTTTCACATTTCCTCGCATTCTTTGCAAGACCATTTAATGTGATCCCAATCAGAGCAGTCAGTTGTAGCAGCTGAGTGCCATCTAGTTCTTCTGATCTCAGGGTAGTAGAGACTGTGGCTCACATGGTCTAATAATCTTGTGGACTAATTATTTCCTTGAGTCTTTCATAGTCACTCTTCCTTTCTCCCAGACGAGGAAAGACCAATTATTACAAGCTTTTAATATCCGAGACACTACTCACCAAAGTAAGATGTAGAGGATTGTCTTTGTGGACCAAGTTATGCCAATTTACCTATGTCCCCAAGACCATTGACTCATTCCCTCGAGGATGTTTGGTTGCAGACAAGAAGTATTTTGTTTTTCAAAAAAGTTCCCCTCTGTTTGCTGTACTGTATACTTGGTTATATTTGCAGCACATACAAGTAGATAGAAGTAAATATTCAAACTAGTGAATAAAAAATAGAATGAAAATATAATGGGGTTTTCCAAGGACCTTTTGACTTCTCACATATAGAAATATAATCTCCAAACTTGTAGCTACTCATATTCCCTGGGCTTTTCATGACTTGGGCCTTTTTAAAGCACATTGCTAGGCCTTTTTTCTGAGGTGTCTCTAGACTATTGAGCTGCCATCCTCTTGGTTGGTAGCCCAGAACCTAATCATTTACACTATCAGTGACACTTATAGATCTGAAACACACACATTTTTTTGTTAGATGTTGTTGAGTTCATCTCGAGGCATAATGAACCCATGTGACAGTAGAACTGCCCCAGAGCAAATGGTTTTCTTGGCTGTAATCTTTATGGAAGCGGATTGCCAGATCCCTTTCTTGCAGAGGTAGATTCAAACCACCAATGTTTCACATATGAACTTAGTGCTTAACAATTGTGCCACCAGTGCTCCTTACTTATATCTTATACTTTGAAAGAGACCATACACACATTGTATTTGCATGTTGTGTTTTTGAGGCACTGGTTATTGAGTGGACAATAGTGAAATATTTAATCATCAAGTGAGATCATAGAATACACTTTCTCAGAGTGCTATGTACATCTCACAACAGCCCCAGGGTTTCATCCTTTACATTAGAAGGAAGAGAAAGGTAGTCATTGAGGAAAAGTTTGTGGAGGTGTGGATAAACTGCAGGTGGCTGGGCTCCCAGGCCAGCATCTACCCCAGTAGATGATGATGATGACCTTGCATTACATCCAGGTGTACATCATCACCACCGCCTCTGCATCAGCCTCACCATCTAGGGGATGATTATTCCTTTGAATGGAAATTTTCCATGCTTGGTCTCCATTCAAAGGGAGAAAGAAGATAAAATTTAAAGAGCAAAAGCTTTTCTGTTTTATTGCTAGATGGGAGAGTAGTTGTATGTGTGTGTGTGTGTGTGTGTGTGTGTGTGTGTGTGCTGAACTTCCAAAAGAGATGCCTCCTCCCAAAGATTTTTCTTTTTTTCCCAGAGATAACAGAAGATCTGGTATTTACAAAATGAAGCCTTCCATATGTTAAATTCTCCATGAAGGAAAATGTACCTATAAAGTTTGGAAAAAAGGAGTACTGGAATTACTCAAACGTCTCTGGCCAACAGTCCTGTGGCTTCACAAGTGTGATGTGCTTTGCTGTGCAACACAGTTTGATACAATGGTGTTGTGTTTCACAAAAACTGAGCAGGACAGGGAAGGAGACCAGCCAAGGCTTAACTCTCCTGAGGTCATTGAATGAAGCTAGGGATCAGGGAAACCAGTTGGTTGTAAAGAATATCATCAAGGGTCCTCAAGCACCCTTTCCTATCTCTTCACCATTGGAGATCACTCCACACTGCGAATTTTTAACCACCTTACCACTGACAAGAAGAATTGGTTAAAAGATGCTTTCAACTTAGTGAAAACCCCTAACATTGGAATAGTCAGGAACTCTCATTGTATTTTACCCTAGTGAAGACCCAGTACAGTAGACTTGGCATAACTTATTGCTCCAACTTTCTAAATGAGGAACCAGATCTCTCCTCTATACTTTATCCTTGTTCTTTATAATGACTCAGTGTATAAAAGAAAAAAATTGAAAAATAATACCCCTAGATCCAGGACCCGAGGTTGCAGATTCTTACATGTGGCCTTCCAAAGATGTCTACCTTAAAGAAGAACAGGACCTACCTGGAGCTAGCATCTCCTCTGCACTATGGGTACAATTTACAGTTGTATGGGCCCTTTTGTGCGATAAAACATATAGCTGTGAGCCCTGAGGACAATATTCCCACTCAGAGCAGCCAAAGCACAAATAGGAGCATAGGGCTGCCCCCACTCTGAGACTCGACGTCCCACACTGACCCATAGTGCTATGCGGGACAACACTGAAGACAAAGTGCAGGAATTGCACCCTATCTGACCCCACCACAATAAGGGTATGCAACAGAACAACACGGGGAACAGAGCAACGAAATCCCCAAGGAATACCAAAAATAGACTTTGGGGCCAGGGAGTGGCACCTCATCAGACTTGACTGGAAAACACACCTAAAGATCAACAAAGAGACATTGAACTATTTACAGGCTTTTTTGGGGTTGTTTTTGTTGTTGTTTTGTTTTCTTTTGTGCTTTGTTTTGCTCTGTCTTGTTTTTTGTGCATATTATTATCTCTGCAGGTTTATCGTGATAAGATAGGCGTGATAAACAATCTGGAGTTGACGGTGAAAGCTAGGACTCCGGGCATCTGGCCCTTTTGGGTGCAACGTAGCACTCCCATGAACAGAATCACCCAATTTATTAATCAAACATGGCTTGTAGTGAACAAGACAAGCTGGGACAAGCATTTGAAGATGCTTTTGATGTGTTGAGGCAACATTCAGCAGGCAACCTTCAGTACGCTCCAGACTACAAAAATTACCTGGTTTTCATCAACCACTGCGCTCAGGTCCGAGGGAGCCCCAGCTGCCTTGGAGTGCTGCCGGCAGAGGAACCTGCCTGTACCTGGAAAGCCATCATCAACAATGTTGCAGACTACTGTGTGGAAGCAAATATCCATCCATCCCTGCAGAATGTCGCTGAAAACCAGCTAATGCAACCTGCCGCTCTCCAGCAAAAGGTCGGAAAAGGACGAAAGAAGCTTCGACTGTTTGAATACCTTCTTGAATCCCTGTGTAACCCGGAGATGGCTTCTTGTATTCAGTGGGTAGATAGAAGCAAGGGCATCTTTCAGTTTGTGTCAAAAAACAAAGAGAGACTTGCAGAACTTTGGGGGGAAAGGAAAGGCAACCGGAAGACCATGACTTACCAGAAAATGGCCAGGGCATTGCGGAATTATGGAAGAACTGGGGAAATCATCAAAATCCGGAGAAAACTAACTTACCAGTTCAGTGAGGCCATTCTCCAAAGACTTTCTCCCTCTTATTTCTTGGGAAAAGAGGTCTTCTACTCACCATGCGTCCAACCTGAACAAGAATATCTCGGTTTAAATAATTGGAATGCAAGCTATAATCATCCATGTGCCAACTACCACGAGCTAAGTGACCCTGATTGCTAGCCATACCCACGTATTTAATGGCACCAGAAGCTTCTACCAGCTAGGATTCTTCCTTTAAGGCAAATACTGAAGAGAAGAAAACAAATCAGTTAACTTGTTGCTATCTTTGCTGAAGCAGCATCCAGCCTATACTAACATTGGTAGAAATACAACCACGGTCCTTGGTGACCCAAGCAGCATGCTACAGACAACTGGGACTTCGACTTTGTTCCTTTGCGGTGCACAACCTCCTTCATAGACACATCAGAAGGATTCACTTGGAAACCTCTCTAAGTAAACTGGATTTTACCTTAAACACACACCTATGGCAGATTAAAGGGACTGAAATGCCCCTGGGACTTAGAGGAGCAGATGACGATAATCCCAAGCTTATGGTTTGGAGGTCATTGGACTGTGGTTCAAATTTCCTAATCTGAAGGTGCCCAGTAGTTGGAAATTTAAGACTACCGTGTATTTTCTGTTTTCTTTGCTTTTAATCTCTTTGCTTCTGAACTCTTTGCTTTGGTATGGCATGTCTTGTCCAAGAGGCCTAGTTCTGCCTGAGTGAATGAGTATTATTAAAAGTTTTATTGTCCTATCTCCAACCCTCATTTCTATAAACAGTGTCCTGTCACTTAAGTTTTTTAATTTGTGCACGTCAATAGCTCATGTATTTTAGGTTTAAAAAGGTATCTTATTCAATAGTATATTTTAAATTCTATGCCATGGCTAAATTAATGAGACTATTAGTAGCATGCCCCATTGGGGTTATTTATAATAGTCCCAACAAAATGACAATGCTATCTCTAAAACGGAACGAGGACATGTGTTGTTTGTTGTTAGTTACTGTCAGGTTGGTGTCAACTCATAGCGCCTGTGTGTACAACGGAATGACACGCTCCCAGTCCTGTGCCAGCCTCACAATTGTTCTTATCTTCGTGCTAATTGTTGCAGGCCCTGTGCCAGACTAGCTTGTGAAGCCTTGCTCCTCTTCGCTGACCCTCTACCAAGGATGATGTCTTTCTTTCTGGGGCTGGTCTTTCCTGATGAGAGACATGTCTTGCCACACTTGCTTCCTCCAAGGAGCATTCTGGCTGTATTTTCCCAAGACAAACTCACTGCCACCCAGTCCATACCACTCATAGCGACCCCTGTGGGTTTCTGAGACTAACTTTCCCCCTGGAGCTGCTGGTGGTTCCAGACTGCAGGCCACGATCCTGTCAATAAACTTCCTGAACACCAAACGTCAACAGTTGCAAATAACAAAATCCAAGGACAGAATGGTATTAGAGGTTGAATTCTGAACACTCGGTTTGCAAGGCTATGGATAACAGTGAAAGCACAAAATCGATTTCAGTGTCTCCATGTAGATTAAGCCTCTAAAGCAGCGGTTTTCAACCTGTGGGTCTCGACCCCTTTGGGGGTCGCACGACCCTTTCACAGGGGTCGCCCGATTCCTATTAGTAGCAAAATTGTAGTTATGAATTAGCAACAAAAATAAATTCACGGTTGAGGGGTCACCACAACATGAGGAATTGTATGAAAGGGTAGCAGCTTTAGGAAGGTTGAGAACCACTGCTCTATTGACTGCTGCCTGACCATTGACCAGGGATGTGAATTGCTTGCTGTCAGACAGTTCATTGGAAAGTGAATTAATGCAGAAGGATGAGGGTCTAAAGAACCACATAGGTTTAACAGGATATTGTTGATTTCATTTCCTGAGATGGGTTGTGTCAATACTCATGTTTAAGAACCAAACAAGAAATCCCTCCAGATTCCTCAAACTCAATTAGTGGTCTGAGTGGCATTAAAAAGAGGAAAAGTAAAAGTGGACTTGGAGTCTTTAGTTATTAGTAAACAAGGTCATCTCCAACAAACAAAATACAAGCTCACTGCCCTTTAGTTGACTTGGACTCAGACCCTACACGACAGGGTAGAATTGCATCTGTGAGATTCATATACTAACGCTTTATAGGAGGTTAAAACTCAGTATCTTCGGTTTCTCTCTCTTTTTTTAATCAGTTCATTTTTCCCCTCCCTCCCCGCTTCCCCCTTCCTCATGAAACCTGATAATTTACAAATTATTTTGTCATATCTTGCCCTGTCCGACGTCTCCCTTCACCCACTTTTCGGTTGTCCGTCCCCCAGGGAGGGGTTCACGTGTAGATCCTTGTGGTCGGTTCCCCCTTTCAAACCCACCCTCCTTCTGCCCTCCCAGTATGACCACTCACCCCACTGGTCCTGGGGGGATCGTCCGCCCTGGATTCCCTATGTTTCCATTTCTAGTTTCCATCTTCTGGTCTAGCCAGATTTGTAGGGTAGGGTTGGGATCATGGTGGTGGGGGAGGTGGGGGCATTTAGCAACTAGAGGAGAGTTGTGTTTCATTGTTGCTGTGTCGCGCCCTGGCTGGCTCGTCTCCTCCCCGAGACCCTTCTGTAGGGGGATACCCAGTGGCCTACAAATGGGCTTTGGGTCTTCACTACACACTCCACCCCGCTTCATTCAATATGATATGATTTTTTGTTCTGATGATGCCTGATCCCTGATCCCTTTGTCGCCTCGTGGTCGCGCGGACTGGTGTGCTTCTTCCATGTGGGCTTTGTTGCTTCTGGGCTGGATGGCCGCTTGTTTATCTTCAAGCCTTTGGGACCCTAGATGCTATGTCTTTTGGGAGCTGGGCACCATCGGTTTTCTTCGCCACATTTGCTTGTTCACCCGCTTTGTCTTCGGCGGTTGTGTTGGGAGGGTGAGCGTCGTGGAGTGCCGATTTGATAGAGGAGGGTGTTCTTGCGTTGGGGGAGTGCTTGGGTGGAGGCCCAGTGTCCTTCTGCAACCTTGATACCAAACCTATAAATAATATGCACATGGATGTATTTCCCCATCCTCAAATATAAATGTGTTTGCTTATGTACATGCCTTTATTTAGCCCTCTGTGGGTGCCCTTTGCCTGCTAGCTCTTTCATCTGTTTCCTTTGGCTTTCCTCTTGTCCCACTATCATGCTCGGCCTTCATTTGGGTTTCAGTAATTCCTCTTGGTTGCATTGCCCTTGATCACGCCCTACTAGGTTTCTCTTTCTTAGGTTTCTCTTTCTGACCCACTTTTAATTTGTTCTAGTTTTTATTTTCTGCTTATTTTTGGCCTGAGGGTTCTC